GACACACCCTGCCAAAGACAGTGTCGAGGTGATGGTCTCCCTTACTGCAGGAAGCAACAAGTTTGGCTTCGTCCTATTAACAAGTTCTACTGGTGATGGGTGTTCTGGCATCCTACGGTATTTCTGCTGACATGGTCATGTCACCAGGAGAGGTACTGCAGTGACCACATCAGGCTTTAAAGCCAACTGCCTGGTGGGAGGCGAATTCTAAATGCTCTTTGTATTATTTCACTGGTTGCAGAAGACATGCGTCCATTGTATAATCCTAGAGAAGGAACTGAATTTAAAAATATATGACTTTGCTTGAGGGAATGTGTGCATTCTCAGGTTTACAATCCTACAGCAAGCCTCACTGTACAGCAGCCCTCAGGTTCAGGGGACGAGGCCTGTTTCTTGTACATAACCAAAAGCAGTGTTTATGAAGAGGAAACTGGCTTCCCTGGCACCTCCAGACCCAGTGGCCTTGCTTCATTCAATGTGCAAACCTCTGATGGAAACCCTTATTGACTGAGCTGCAGAGCACAGGCTCCTTGCACAAAATGGGCCATCATTCGAACTGTCACTGTGCCCTCCCCTAAGCTCACGTCCTACACTCCAGGATGAACACAGCTCACTCGGACCAGATTGAGCCCCCAGCCCCATCTGTCATTGTTCCTCAGCCTGTTTCACGGACCCCTCCTCCAACCAAACAGATATTCAAGATCTTAGATGCACACACACAATGTATAAACAAGCAAAACCCTATACTTCATCTGTCTTGAGGTAGCTCTTTAGTACATTTCAAGAAGAGACTTGCTCATTCCTTTAAGATATCTGTGTAATATCTGGGAACAAGACGGCATCTGTAAGTGGAGACTGTGTCACTACCTTTCTGTGAAGCAAACCAGTTATTTTCCATTGTATCAGTCTGAAGAAGGCTTAACTCAGGCCCACATGAAGATGGCTCCCTTGTCACATACATGAGAGGAAGACTGTCTTCAGTCTTTTCATCTACTCCATTCCTGTTGACTGTTTCTTCACTGGAATGACAGGGTGCCGGGTGTTCATGCTGGAACCAGACATAGAAATCAAGACCAAAATGGCCTCCTACTGCTCCCAAGCAATAAAAGAGTAGAGATGTGCTGTGAATCTGACAGATTTAGACCTGTGGTTCTCACACGGTGTGGAAGATGCGTTCCATGGTTGGGCTCACCAGGACTTTCTGGCTGAGTGGGTCTCAGAGGAACAAGAGAACTTGCACTAACCATGTCCTGAGTGATGCTGATGATGCTGGTCCAGAGATCACGCTTGCAGAAACACTGATTTTTGAAAGCATTTACGCTTGAAGAGCCCTGAGAAGCTACCTTTCATTTTTTTTATTTTTTTTTGGTCTTTTTGAGATAGGGTCTTCCTGGAATCCCTAGCTGGTTTGGAACTCTTTATGTAGACGGGGCAGGCCTGGATCTCACAGAGATCTGCCTATCTCTGCCTTCTGAGTGCTGGGATCAAAGGTTGTACCACCAAGACTGGCTAGAAGCCACCTTTTAAGTCTGTGAATCTTTCTGGGATTTCTTAAAGACATTTGTCATTTTTTTTTCTAAATAGTAGAAACATTTAACAACATAAAGGTATATATGAACTACAAGATTAGAATTAAAGGACATTCATTCCACATTTTTTCAGAGGAAACCGAAGCTCAAATAAGTCTGTGACGAAGGCAGGAATCTAGGTCAGGACCATGATCTCAGTTTCTCAACTAAAAAAATTATACTTTATGGAAAAATAAGCAATTTTAGAAAAGGAGAGTCTTACAAACCCTTCTATTCCTGCTACATTGTAGTCACATACTACTTAATAATTTTCCAGACTGCATATACAACAGTGGTACACAAAATTATCTGGTGATGTTGCAGCCATATGTTTATATAAGCATACTGCATAAAATTCACAAAGTGAGGACATCACCTGGCAACATATTGTGTGTGTGTGTGTGTGTATGCGTGTATGTTGCCTGCATGTAGGTAAGTGCACCTGTGTTGTGCAATGCCCGCGGAGGACAGAAGAGGCTTTTGGATTCCCTGGAACTGGAGTTATGGACAGTTGTTAGCTGCCATATGGGTGCTGGGATTCGAACTTGGGTCTTCTACAAGAATACTCAGTGTTCTTAACCCCTGAGCCATCTCTCTAGCCACAGCAAATTTCTTTAAAAAAAGCATCATGCAGTTGAAGGATATGTGGTTGTATCTGGTACACTTTGATGTACACTAAAGAGGTTTCTATGGAGAATATGCCATTCTAAAGGCCAGACCTGTGAAAATCATCTCATTTAGGCCCACACTCTGAGCCCATGTCTTTTAAAAATTATTATTTTTATGTGTGAGTGTATTGCCTTGTAGGTAGGTGTACCCATGTTATGCAATGCCCACGGAGGTCAGAAAAAGGCATTGGATCCCCTGGAATTGGAGTTGTGGATGGTTGTTAGCCATCGTGTGGGTGCTAGGACCTGAACCTGGGTACTCTGCAAGAGCAGCTAGTGCTCTTAACTGCTGAGCCATCTCTCCAGCTCCAAGAGCACAGATCTTAACTTGGACAGAGACAGCCAAAATGTTTGCCAAGCTAGGCTGGGGCGAGGCACTCAAGGTCTGCTCTGAGAAGGGTGGCTCTGGAGTTTCCACAGGAAATGTGCTTGGGAATCCCTCTGCAGAGATGTGCACCTTGGGGACCTGACTAAAGCTATATGGTAGTTCTCCTTTTCCACAGGGATACATTTGAAGACCCCTGAAACTATTAATAGTGCTGCTCTTGATAAACACTTTTCAACCATAATGCATGCAAAGTCCAATTTATAAACTACATAAAGACTTAACAATAACCAGTAAAGAAATAAGAGTTATAACAATATTGATATAGTTTGGATCTTGAAGGTCTCCCAAAGGCTTATGTCTTAAAGGCTTGTATTTCCCCAGGAGGCAATATATGGAAGGTGGCTGAAGGTTACCAGAGACATGCATCTGAAGGGAACTGTGGGAGCCAGTTGTCTGTGGGAAGTCTGGGTTACTGGGGGCATGCCTCTGAAGAGAATTGTGAGACCCTGGTCCCTCTCATTCTTAGACATTTGTTTCCACCATGATTTGCTGCCGCAATCAGAGCAACAGGACCAACTGATCACAAACTGGAAGCTCTAAAACTGAGCTGGCATCAACCTTTGTTCTCTTTATGGATTCATTAGCTCAGGTATGTGTTATACCAATGGAAAGCTGACAGAAGTTAACGTGGGGTTTCTTTCAAGAGTATCATACTGTCCTCACCCTTCTTGTGATCATGTGAAATGACACAGTGCTTACGCAATAAGATAAAGTGATGAATGATATGAAATTGGGCTACTGTTGAACTTGTTACTTGAACATAAGCACAGCAATACTGCGAGTTGGACTGATAACTAAAAAAACTATAGCGCGACTAACAGATGGGCAGTATATACAGTACAGAGACAGTGGAGGAAGGGGTGCTTCATGTGCTGGGCAGGATGAGTATGATGGCTCAGGGAGAGCAGCTCAGCAAATACAGCAGCAGGGTAGAGCACACACTCTTCACACACAAAGCTCCTAAACCACAAACACATGGCGTTGACGGCTTTGCAACAGCAATGCCTAGGAAGCCAAAAAGAGCATGGGAAATATAGAAATGGAAGGGAAAAAAAAAAAAAAAAAAACGACTGTTTTCTTTGAACTGATACCAAATCATCTCTGTAAGAAAACTTAATATGACGTCTCCTTTGAAGGAAGTCTCTGATCCTACTGCAATGCAGCAACTCCCACAAACAAACCAAGAAGTGAAACACAATACTTTGGAATGCTCAGAGTAACTGGAAACAGACAGGAAGACAGGAGCCCACTAACATTTAGGAAAATGAAAACATTTCTTAGGAGGACTATGTTCTAATATAACATTGGAAATTTCACCTGTTATAAACCCAAGGATCCTCCACTGCTCCTTAGAGGATTCTAGAAAGAAAGTTTTAAACCATCCATTAGTGATATAAGAAAACTCTGGCATTTTGATCCTGTCAGCAGTTCCTTAGGAAAGGATGTGTCAATCTTTGGTCCTCGACTCTTGCAGAGGACCTAGGTACAGTTCCCAGCAGCCACATGGTGGCTAACAACCATTTATAACCCCAGTTCAGGGGAATCCAGTGCCATTTTCTGACCTCCACAGGCACTGCACAACATGGGTGCACTTACACACATGTAGGTAGTACACTCACACACATAAAATAAAAATAATAAAATATTTAGAAGCTTTAAAAAGATATTGAGGGGCTGGAGAGATGGCTCAGTAGTTAAGAGCACTGACTGCTCTTACAGAGGACCCAGGTTCAGTTTCCAGCACCCACATGGCAGCTAATAACTGTAACTCCAGTCTCAGGGGATCCAGTGCCCTCTTCTGGCCTCTGCAGACACTGGGTGCATGTGGTACACTTACATACATACAGGCAAAACACTCATACACATAAAATAAAGATAAAAGATACTAAGATTGAACTGAAAACCAATTTAAACAGAAAATGATCATGATCTGTATGTCAGCTATCTGACTGTTGACTCCTTTTGTGGCAGTGTTACTGTGGTCACCTGTTCTGGATTTGTGCTAAAGTGTGTGACAACTGTACCTTATTGTCAAATCTCAGTTGGAGGCATATATGGGCATTCACTGAGCCAGTCTTCCAAATAAAAACAGCTTTAGCAATTTTCTAACAGAGACAATCTAAGCCACGCAACAAAGCTCAACAGGAAATGAGTGCCGCTTGACTCACGGCAGCCCTCTTCCACTATTTGAGTTTAGTCAGGAAAGTGACCATCTCTCTCTGGGCATACACCTAGATCATTTCTGGGTCTCTCTTTCCCCGACTACCATGTATTCTATACAACAAGATCTTTCCCAGTTCTCTGAGGGAAGCTTCCATGTCAAGCCCAGCCCAAGGGTTTCAGCACCCTAGGACTCAAAAAAGAAGAGGCAACATATGTCAAGGTAAATTATTGGTTTATTAGGAAAGCACCAACACCACATTCTTCGAAATTACTGGAATTTTATTTGCCTCAGGCTTATGACTTGCAACCAAAGACATTGTGCAAAGAAAGCAAAGATTAAGTACACTTTGGGGCGAAGGAGACAATACACATTGGCAACGTAGGAGATCGGGTAGACAAAGAAGCTATCCAGTACACTCTACAGATTGCAATATTCAATAGCGTTTTCAACAAAACTCTGTTTTTAAAAACCAAGAGCAAAAAAGAAAAAAAATTAAGCAATGTTTACAGTAGACATAAATCTTATACAAGTCAAAAAGCATTTTTGTTCTTCAGATCATAGAGCATAAAATGGAAAACTGTCTATGCAGGTGAAATCTAACTACTGTACATTTGTCACCTATTAAAGTTGCTTATATGTACCACAGTGTAAAAAAAAAACAATACTGAACAAATAAAAATCTCAGAAATTGCCTGATGAAAAATAAAATAACCAGTGGCTTTTAATGGCTTCTCCTGGTTATCAGTGCTACAAAAAGACAAAAATCTGCCTGTCAGAACAGGTGATAAAACCAGGTACAATCAATCCGTTACCAAATTCGACCCACCCATAGAAATATACTATCTACCCACATCTTTTCCATCAAAAGCTTTTGTTTGTTTTAATCTTTGAATCTTTGAGGCCCATTTGGTCACAATATGTTACAAATATTTGTGTGTGTGTGTGTGTGTGTGTGTGTGTGTGTGTGTGTATGTGCACGCGCGCTTTTTTACACCATGATATCATATGTTTGTCTGGCACTATCCTAAAGCTAGTTTATAGATGACAATGAGGATGTAGAAATAACCCAGTGCCCAAATGACAAGTGAACTCACTGGGGAGAAAAGAGAGAAGGGAGGAAGTTATTCAGTTCTACCACGGTTAGAGCAGATCCACGTGGCTCACTCATCGTCAGTCCCGCTGGCTTCTGACTGTTCCTGGAAGAAAAAAGACAAAAGGCAATGGCATTTTGGAGTTAGTGCTCCAGATCTCTTTCAGTGAACAGAGCCCTAAGAGGCATAGGCCGTCTCTATACTGAGAAGGGGAAGGCTGAACTGAAAATCCCAAGCAGTGGGTTCTTGGTTGCTGTCTGTTCCTTTGGTTTCTAAAGTTTATGGTTAACAATTTCTCTTTTTAGCTCAGTTTTAGAAAATTCATGGGAGAAGAAAAATTCTCACTGGTAAGTCACCTAAAGAAAACACTATATTTTAACTATAACTTAAATATAAGAAGTCAAATTCTAGAACTTTCTAGTCAGGCTGCCACAGTGGCAAGGTGTTGAAGGAAAATCACGTGGAAAACTGTCTTTCCAGGATGGAAAATGTGTAGGACTTGGATGGTAGGGAAGCTGAACTCTTTTGGAAATTTGGAGGGTTTTTTTGGTCTCTTTTGAGACAGGGTCTCTCTGTAGCTCCAGCTGGCCTGGAACTCACTATGTAGACCAGACTGGCCTCGAACTCACAGAGATCCGTCTGCCTCTGCCTCCTGAGTGCTGGGATTAAAGGTGTGCGCCACCACGCCTGGCAAGGAAATTGAGTTTTAAAAGGAGGGGACTGGAAAAGTTTCTGCCTGCTGTTCTCCCAAACAGGCAGGGACAACCCTGCTAGACTGTGTGATGCCCCTGGCATCTAGATTCAGACCCTGTCATTCGCTCACTCCATCACCTGGAACAGAACCTAAGTGACACCTATGTTATGATGCTAATATAAACCTTAAGTGTTCATCATACAGGAAGGTGCCTAGATTCACAAATGCTTAAAATTACCAGATATTAAAAAGAACACCTCTGGGTATTTAATTGCAAGGCACCAGAATAAAAAACAGTATCATCACAATGCTTCTTCTCATTTTTCCCTCCTAACCATTATTTCATCTGATCTTCTATATACTTGCATCATGCTGCATGTGACAGATATGAAATATTAACCATCCATGAAGAAAACTGTATGGGAAAGTATGTGCTGGGGAAAACTGAAAAGAGAACTGAAACTGATCACACACACACACACACACACACACACACACAAACAGACTCTTTGTTCTAAACCTCACAGCTCTGTTCCATTCCCAGCACTGAAACCTCAGCCCCACCCCCCGGCC